AGCCTTAAACAACACCTAAGCCAACCGTAAACCAACCCTGAAACACCCACGAAATCAACCCTAGGCCAGGACTAAAGCCACCCTAAGCCAGCAACCCTAGACCAAGACTGCGGGGTAAAAAATCCCCTTTAGGATGCAAAATAATTCCTCAGTAAGAGGAAAGTTTCATGTGAGGAAAACCAACAGGACAATTGCCATCCTCCAGAGACCCTCTTTCAGGTGTCATTTGTCTTTGGCAACTTCCCCGACACGCAGAATGCAAAGCTCGCGATTTGTCAACATGGCTTTCCAGGTTTAGGCCATTTTGATAAATACTCCTCGCTGCTTTCCTGCGGATTAACAAACAGAACCCCTCATTAACTCATCAGGCATTCGATTTAACAACCGGAATCCCTAATTAACTAATCAGTTCCTGCGGATTGACCAACGGAACCCCTCATGAATCCGGCATTCTTATTTTGTTTTCTCGAATTCGATCGCTTCAAGTTCCGGCTCGGGATTCGCCTCACAGCTTCTTGCAGCCATTGCCGAGCCAGGGAAGGCGTTCCATGGCGCATGCCGAGCGACCCCTCAGCGCCTAAAGCTGAGAGATCTTTTTCGACGGCCCGTAGGGACACCACCAGCTCCAAACGCCAAGGCTTGGGTTGCGGGCTCGCTTGCTGACTGAGACCTCACTATGGCGTGCTTGGTCCTACTATCCTGTTTTCCTGGTCGGGTGCGCTTGTTGCTTCCGAGAACAGCATGAGACAATCGGCAAGTCATCTCGCAACAAACATTGAGATCGCTGAGAAGGGTTACCCGTGTCCATGCCATGAAAGTGGGATTCCACAAGTACTTGCCTCACCCCGGAGCAACATCGGCTTGTCTTGGAAGCTAGGGCTGCTCAGACTTGCTTCTTGAAAGCTGTAGGTGGCGCGGAGGTTTCACACGGGCGCCAGGTTTCTAGGCATGCATGCGTTTTCAAACTACTCTGCCTGGGAAATGCCCGGAATCCATAGGGGCGTCTGCGTCTTCCTGTTTTGGGAAATTAATTTTGGTTGTCAGGCAAGCAAAACGAGGACCAGCCATGTGGTCCTCACGGACTTCCTCTTTGAAACTCTGCACCAAAGGTCCAACTCTTTGAAACCTCCCAAGCTCCCCCTCCTCTTGCCTAATTGGACTCTCCTAGGTTTCGTTTGTTTCCTCTTTTGATCCCCTATTGATGAAGGATCAGGGCGGTGTTCTGTCTTGTTTTCCCCACTCTTTGAAAGGTCCTTGAATAATTGACTAAATGCGGTAAACCCTGGACGGTTGCTGGACTTTTGTGTGGGAAGATTCGCCTGGGGTGGTAAAACGTTCACTGGAAGCACAAGTGTAGAAACGCAGGGAGTCAAAAATATGTGCTCGACTGAAGGCTTGGGGTAACCCTGCACGAGAGGTACACGTCTGCAAAGAAAATGCCGTTTTAAAAGGCAATCCAGAAAGAGCCACACCAGAATGTCGAAAGCCCAAAACCGGAACTCCGTTTAACCCCGGAATTTGTAAAGCCAAAACAAAAAAGGGAATCCACAAGAAGAAAAAAGGGAATCCATAACCAGAAAGACCACTTCTGGCTGGAATCCACGGTTTTCTTCTCCTGTTGGACTACAGGAGCGTTACGGACCACGAGTGTCTGGCAGGTTGAAACAGTTTGCCCTTCGCTCGAATGAAGAAACCGGCCAACAAACAGTTTCCGTGAATTGACACACCAGACATGGAATATCACCAAAAATGGTAAACAGTCAAAGCCACTGGTTAACTTTGATTTGCTTAAGTCCCCTGGCAACATGTACATCGTTTCAGTACTGATAGATCACCCTTGAAGTCCAGCAGGGGAAATGCAACATTTAGGTCCTCCAGTAGAGAGGTTAGAACAAGGGTACCCTTTGTTCTGTAGTCTATTTTAGTAGGGGAAACCTGGAACCCTCCCCCTAAAAAGGGGCTAGACATGGCACTACTGGGGGGACCTAGTTAACAAGAACAGAAATGGCAAACCACCCAGAAACAACAACCTCCCCCAACTTTACGAAGTGTGTGGACTCCCGCGTCAAACTCGAGGAATCCGCCGTTTTTGTTTCCGCGGATCTCAGTGCTTCCACTTGGACCTTAGAGTCGATGGGCCTACCCTTCACGACCTATTGAACACTTTCAGGGTACCCCAAACCCACTGTGGATGGTTGCGAAATCCATTCCGCATCACTTGAGAAACCCTGGTTTCTGATTTGATCCCCTCTAACTACCAACAATGGCTCCTCGCGGTTTCAACGCGGTGCAGGAGTTTGCCTATCCACAGCAGGTCGGGCTGAAATCCCGCCAGTCTAGTGTTTTAGGTGGGTCATAGGCAATCCTTCGATACAAAGCTGTGAAAGGATTCCATAAGCATTCCTATCAACCGCAAAGGCTGTTTTGAGCATTTGCACACGTGGGGTGTCAAAATACCATGGGTGAAAATCCCGTATGTCCAGTGAACATCCGATTCAATCCCCACTCAAATCGACGAAAATGGGTGGTGAATTCACCCAGGTGCCCTGAAAGGGCTGGGAAATCATAGCATAGGCTGGTCGCACTTCCGGCGCCAACAAAGACTAGGGCTACCTTCCATTGCCATTCTGAACCCAGGGATCCGTTCTTTTCTTCAGGAAATCATCTTGAAACCCGGGGAAACCGCTGGTTTTTGAAAAGAACGATGGTTGAAAACAATGGGGAATCAACCCCCAGAAGACTTTTAGCACCAAAACTGGTCTCAGAGAATTTGAAGTCCAACTCAGGGACCCAGGGCTTGAATCTGATGCTTTTTATTGTTGGAAACATGCCATCTGCAAATTCCACCAGTTTCCAAAACCTGAAATAAAGGGATGCCAAGATCATCACGGTAAGCTCGCGTTATCTTCAGGTGAGCTCACCCCACAATTAGCAGAAGCTGGTGACTTCTCTTGTCAAGGTTTCGGCTGCCATTCCTTGCTAGTCTGGAAAATTACCTGGAACACAAAAGCTGAGCATCTCACAAGCATATCCTCTTGGGCAGCATCTTTTCTGGGTTCTATTTGAATTTGCAAATTTATGCATTTTGCTCCCTGACGAGAACAAGGCTCCAAGTCGCGCGGTTCTTCTGGGGGTTGCCTGATTTCCAGCTTGGGAGTTGTATCTGGCCAGAATCATCCAGCAAGGCCCCTCGACGAGTCTCGGTGTTCCTGTGTGGAAGTTCTTTTACTTGCTGCAAAAAGGACATCTCCGAGGGCAACCTGCCATTGGAGTCGTTGTCCTATACGTAGCTGTTTGCACAGTGGCAACGCAAACGGACCGGCTGGTCGTTCAATCCATGGTCCCAAGAATCGTGCGACCGAGCGGCACGGCAAGCAAAGCTCCGGCGCTAATCACGCAAGCGATGCCAATCGAAATGAAGAACAAATCCTGAGGCAAGGTTGGGGAGCGATTCCTCGTCAGCAGGTTCCCATTTTCGGCCCATTTTCAGCACCATTTCCATGTGAACAACGGTCACAGACATTTGGATTTTGTTGAGATTTAAACAAAGTGCGCTCCTGAATGGGTGCGTTCATGTATGAATCAACCAGGGGCTCAACAATTTGCACAAGTTTTGCCAAACCAACAAGGCCATCCCCGAGTGAAGGGCCTACATTGGCTTTGCCCTGAACCCGTCAGCTCGCCAAAGTGGCAGGTGAACTCGTGGAATTGCATGGGCTTTCCGTTGAGAAAGACACTTCGGCTCTACCGCCCAACACTTGCCAGAAATCCCTGGAAGTTTCCTCTCAATAGGACCCTCGGGTTGAGAGGTCCGTGTTAGTGGACGGGTCCCAACATGTTCAAAGGAATGGCCAAACGACAGCAATTGGCCATTGCGCCCGTAGGTCAACTTTTGACACCCTTGCTCAACCCCCCAATCTGCAAAATTGACAGGACATGTCCCACAACCGCTACCTAAACTGGCGACCGCCTCATGCCGGTGTCAAAAGCTTTCAAGGGACTCAAAGGGATGACTGTACCAAGCCTAATCACTGGTTTACGGGCTAGGTTTACCAGAATGTTCTCTTTCTAAGACCCACGAGTTTATGAATGATCCGTTTGAAGGTACGAACCCACATATGACCCCGTTTGTGGTTAGCTATTGATCAGGACTTAAATCAGGGAAGCCACTAAAGAGGCCCAACATCGCAAGTGCATGGCTCTATGAAACCAGCCAGGTGCCTTGCGAATGAAACCTCGGACCTTGATCAGCCCTTGATGGCCATTCCCTTTGCCCACGACTGTTTGACGTGTTGCTTTCTGCGGGGAAGACGAAAGGAACCCTTGAGCTCTTGCTGCTTACTGGGTTGCTCTTCCTCTCAGAGCAAAGGGTTTAGCCTCTTGCAGGTTTTCATGAAAAAGCCTTGAATTTCTTACTTGCTGAGTGGATGGCGCAAAAAAGTCCAAACTTTATATCTACCACTCAAATGGTCCCAAAAAGTTTATTGTTCATGAACTCAAGTGAGATTTGTTTCCACAAGGAGCTGAGGTCACAAAGACCAGCCATGAAAAGAGGCGGATTTCTCATTGGCCGAGACCAAGTTGCGTAGTGGCCGTTGTTTGGAGAAGATTCCGGAATCCAGTCCTGGCGACAAAACACGCAACATGCGCAGAGTTGATACGACCTATGGCGGCTTTTAAAGGGAACCGAGCCCGAATTAAAAGTAGACTTGAGAAACCCTAAAAACAAAAACTTTCAGGGCGCCCAGAAGAAACATGTGCTTGAAGGAAACCACCCAAAAAAGCTCAAAAAAAAAAAAAACTTTCAGGGAGCCCAGAAGAAATATGTGGATTGCCGATGAACCCCGCTCTTCCACCCTCAGAGCTTCCAACATGTACCCTCCCCCCATCTCGAGGGCGGTCTTCTCCGCAAAGCTGACAGATCCCCAAATAAAGCAACTTCGTCATGGTGAGCTTGTTTTACCTCCAGGCAAGCTCGCCATATACCAGCAAAGCTTAATCACATCAAGCAACTTTCTTACATAGAAACAGGATCGTATACAGCACCCCGTATACAGCCCCCCGTCCATCTCTCCCTCCATCCCTCCTTCCGTCCACACTTCTGTACATCCATGCATCCATCCATTCATTCAGCTTCCTTTCCTGGGTTCCCAGTTGCCCGGTGACCCTGGTAAAAAGAAGCACCCTTGCGGGAAACCCAGCACACAAAACGGGAATTACGGAACCCCTGAACAACTGTTCTTTTCAGCGTGCGAGGATATGCGCATCCTCAAAACCTGGGTTCTTCGTGACCCTGCCCGGAAACTCGACTAAGAAAGAGAAGGTGAAAGCTGGCCTCCCCTTTCGCAAGTGGACCGTTTTAAACCAAAGTTCCACTACCGCCACACAACTACCTAACAAATAATTGAGCATATCGCGTCTTGCCTTGGAGGAAAAGGGTTTTTGGAGGAGAGTGGACATTATATCAAATTGGCAGCCCCAAGGTGATGTTTGCACTCGCAGTTGAATCCAGGGGGGAGACCGAACGTCAATGCAAGGAAGCAGGAAACACAGGGGGGGTATCAAGGAGTGGAAGCGCCTGTTCCACCTCAAATAACTACAAGGGGAGACATTCTGACTTGCACTGCGCAGTTGGCAGGTGGCTTATCCCCTTGAGATTCGTAGAGTTTCAATCATTGGTGGGATATGGGTATGATCTTTTTTGAGGGCACCCCTTTTTTAGTGGTTGTAAACGGGAAACCACCAGTAACAGCCCTAAATAAAACAACAACAATAAGCAAGCCAAACCACAGGGTGGAACTGTACCGAGCCGAGGCGTTTAATGGCCACGGGCTTCTGTATGAGGTTTCCGCGTGTTTTGAAAACAAAAACCTTGAAACGCAGAGTGTGTGGTTTGGCTTGACTTCTGCCTCCCTCCTTGGCAGCGTGTCTGGCCGGGAACTGGGAAAGCTGTGTGATGTGTTTATGTGTTCCTGGTGTGCGGGGGGGGGGGGGGTGGAAGAGGTATTGCATTGTTCGGAGCGGATTTTAAGCTTGAACAGGGTCGTCGTTTCTATGGCTCTGAAGGCACAAGTGCTGGTCATCCAACTGCAGCTCTTGAAGGGCGGAAGCCACTGAACAACTGGCGAAACATTGGTACCATGACCCTCGATCTTGCTGGTTTTCCTTGCACACAATACATCTACCGATGTGAGAGAAATCTCCCTTCAGGATTGGTAACGGCTCCCCTGCCTCCGGGGTTGTATAGGTCCCCTTTGAATATCACCCACAACAGAAACTTGCTTTCACATGCCCCAAAGGGGGCGAAATCCATTTCGCACTACTTTGAAACCACGGTTGAAACCATTGCTTGCCGGTATTTGCCAGGGGAAATATCAGAAACCAGGGTGTCTTAGGTGGTGCGAAATGGATTTCGTCCACCCACAGTATATATATATATAGCGCAATCAACCTAAGAGGACTATCCAAACCCGTGGCCTGCGTCTTCACGGTGGCTATTTCAGGACCCCTCAGAAAAAGATCCGAGCCAAACGGAAAAAACAAAGCCCAGGAACTGGGTATTTGGCGCTATGGGTTGTCAACGGTGGTGAACACAAGCCGATCATGTGGTTGAGGTATTCAAAAAAATACCATCGAATTGATGAATTCAGAAAGTTCTCCATTATATGCACCATTTCAGAGTGTCTTTATGTAGGGACCCCGAACATGGTTGTTGTCCTTTTACTTTCCTTTTAAGACCACACAAAAGGGGTAGCTTCACAAACTCACACGCCCATTTCTGAAGCAATAGTTGAAACAAGGCCAACTGGGGAAGGTACCCCAAACCAAACAAAACAACATTTTTCGACAAGAGCTGAAGAAAGAATAACTTTCGTTTTCCACCTGCCAGTTGGACACGGAACCTGTGGAACCCACTTTTGCAACTCAACCGCAGTCCGCTTGCCATGGAATCTCGCGAGTGCTTCCTGTAAAAGGGACCGTTTCCGCCGTTTCTCGGGTAGGTTCCATGGCAACCTAGACCAGAGAGTAGTTCAACCAAGGCCAGCCCAAGCCAACTGGGGAAGGTACCCCCCCATCAAAAACTACAAGTGAAGGACGTTCTTCAACAAAAACATATGCAAAAACATGGAACTAATGATGTTTCTTCAATTCTCTTGGCCGATTCTCTTCATGTTTTCTCCTTGCCCATCAACAAAAACTAAAAGCGAAAGATGTTCCTAAAAACAATCGGCCAACAAACCAATCGGCCAAAAACCAAGTATCGGCCAAAAGTGAACTTGTTCAATGGGGGGGTTTTACTTAAAACTTGTAGCTCAAGTTGTTTTCTTTTTCTTCAGGGATCCTTCGATTATACACCTAAACATTGCCTTGTGTATGGGGGTTTCCCTTTATTTGGGTGGAAAAAGCAACATGTTTCAAATGGTTGCAAAATGGAGATCTTTTAAGGAGCCCTGTTTTACTTATATCTAAAACTGGTTCTCTCCTTGGAACCAATCAACCCAAAACGAAGGCCCCCAGGTGCCTTCAAGTGCCCCAGCAGCAGGCCCAGCAACGCCACCGCCGCCGCCTGCAGGAAGCAGCTGAAGCCATAGGCCACCGGCGTGGACAGGAACTCGGCGCAGGCCTCGGGCCCGTGTTCCACCACAACCACACAGGACCGCAACCACAGGGGGGGGGGGGGGGTACTTGTCTGACCCATGACCTTGGGGGGGGGGGGGGGCAACGCTGTACCATATATATATATATATAAAAATTCACATACATATACAGTCAGCCCCCCCGCCCTTGCACTACCTTTCCTTCTTTCTTCACATATATATATATATATGGTGGCCCCTCCCCCCTCCCCCCCAAACCTCGACCTTTTTGTTGGTCTTCATCTGTGATACCCACTACATCTATATTATACATCAATAAACAAACAAATAAATACACCAACTAAACATATGAACATGATTCTTAAACAATAAGTCAATAACTCAACAGAAAATGAGATACATAGAAAGCATACATGCATAAAACAAAAACAAAAAACTACTAATACTAAAAGAAACACATATCTGCTCGCAGCAAGAGCGGCAGATGCAGAGCTTGGCTGAGATCAAGACCACATATCTAGCTTTTGCTTCGGGCATTCTAGTTGATGCTCACGCCGGGGAAAGGACGCCAGCCACTCCGAAGGGTCCAAATCCTGAAAAAAATCAGCGCCTTGGGCAGTCTTCGACTTTGGACATGGTGCCCGGGTTTTGCAGCTCCGTGACAGTGGAATACTACTCAAGTTGCTCAAGTTGCGTGTCAACATTAGGGAACCTGTTGGGGCAGGCTAATTACAGCCATCGTTCGGAAGCGACCATAGTTTGACACACCCACCCACACACACACACACACACGCACATCACACACACGGGCATGAGTTTTGTTTGATTTGACAGGGGGAGTTGTGAATTTTTAGGGTGTCCTAAAACAGTGAACTCAGTCTTGGATTGTGCTCAAACGGAAACCCGAACAACACAGACTGTCTCTTGGCTAGAGCATCTTTTAAAATGAATCCTACACATGTACCCAACAAGTTTGGAGTTCAAGGTGCAAAAAAACACAAAAACAACAACAAGAAAAACGAACAAACACAAGATCAACAACCCCCCCACCCGCCAAACCCCAAAACCAACACCACTCGGATTGCCCCCACAAAACCCGGGGCTTCGGGCCGGGTAGACAAAGGCCTCGCCGGTGGCAATCAAGGCGAACTGCGGCAGCAGCCACAGCACGCTCAAGGAAGACACGTCGGGCTCACCTGCCCAAATTACTTTCCGGGACATTTCGTGAGCTCCGAGGGACATTTGCTGAGTTCTTGGTGGAGCTATGAGGCTGCCCATGGTCTCGGAAGCCTCTTGGAAGCCGAGCAAAGAGATTCCAAAAGCCAAGCCGAGTCGGTGGTTTCTCTCGAGTCCAGTCATTTTCGAAGCCCATACTCTCAGCGCAAGGGATGCTTTTGTTTTCTTAGGTACGTGGCTTAGGGGCAAGTGCTCAGAAAATGTGTGTTTGGACTCCTTCACTGGAGTTGTGTGAGGAAACCCGTGGGGCTTCTTTTACCGGACACCAAATCCATTGGGATCCCTCGAGAGGAGAAAACACATGCTCTCTCGCCGCAAGAAATGTTAACACCCGTCCCCTGTGGCGTTTGCAATATTATACTTCAAAACTGGGGGAACATTGACAACTGAAACACCAAATGCAACCAAAAGTCTGACCAACATTCACCCCTGGCATGTTTTGTTAGGGGTTCGTCCTCCTAAAGTACCAACCACAAGCGAACTACAAGCCAACTTTGGGCTTATCCACTACCTGCAAACTCCCAACATCTTGTGGTTGGATGCGGGGTATTTCCTACCTTGGGGACTGATTAAAGGGGAGTTGTATCAAAGTCACCCCTCCCCCACTCTACAGGGACGTGATCGCAGAATCAAACACCCACTCATCTTGCCCAAGTCTGTTGTGTTTACCTCAACATATCACATGTTCTCTGGTGAGAACTTCCCTCAGCACTGAGAGTGAAGGATTCTCCTCAGTTTGGCCATGGGCCAAACCTAGCCCTTAGGAGGGTTCTCTTTCCACAAAAAAAAGGATACCCTCAACACAAAAAACAAACCCATATTCGCTCACAACATACTGTGGCTCGACGAAATCCATTTCGCACCACCCAAGAGACTCCGGCTTCTGATCATTCCCTTGTCAGTACCCACCAAACCTTCTGGTTTCACTCCCATGAATCCATTTCCTGGCGTTTTTTCTTCTCCCTTTTTTCCTTCCGGATGTCGCCGCTCAGCGCCGCCCAAAAAGCCGCCGCCCCAAAACGCGCCGCCCGCCGCGCCCAAAACGCGCCTGGCAGCCGGGGCCACCAGTCCCTGCGCGCCGCCTCCGCCAGCGCCGCCGCGAACATCGCCGCCGCCGCCAGCAGCGAGCCGAAGGCCAGGCCTCCGATCGATCTCGAGCGGATCCGCGTCGGGGGCGGGTGGGGTGGAGGTACCGCCGGGCTGGGTCTCGCGTCCTTTATTTTGTTGAGGTGCTGGCCTGTTTACAGGGCTGGGCTTAAATGGAAAACCAAAAGGAAGCCGAAACCCAGTGTGAGAGTAGCGACTTTTTTTTGACACATATATCTAAAATATGGTTGACCAATTGGTTGGATATGTGGACCATAAGGTCCACCATTGTTGTTGGTTGATCTTACAACGCATAGGATATCGACCGTTTTGGAGGACCGAATCCTATTTTGAGCAGCCCCCCCCACAAGGACCTGGAAATAAAGTTCAAGCTGCTGGAGCCTAAGCCAAATCTCTGCAATCCACTCTAAACCTGTCCCGAAATTGTTGAAACAGACTCCCGGCTTTCTGATATGGTCTGACGGTTGCATGTCAGTACTGACAAAATGAGCGCAAAACAACCCTCCTCCCCCCCGCCAGCCCCCTGAATGCAGGCCGCGCGGCGGCTGGCCGGCCCCAACTTCAGAACCTGAGCCGACGCAACGCGCCACTTGGTTCAACTTGGGCGGAGGAAGCCGCGACAGCGCGCGTCAAAAAAAAAACAGAGACACATCCGAAGTGTAACTCTGAGCTTTTTCAGTGGGATTGTTTCTCGGCAAAACAGTCGGTCTCCCAAAAGTCTAGGACTCCTTTGTACTCCAAAACCCCAACAAAATCGGTTGAGGATACGCCAGCGATTTCGGCCACTTTGTCATTGCACGTGCTCGTTTTCCACCCAACGCCAAACCTGGCGGGGGCTGTCATGTCACACCATTGCTTGCGTTGATATTTTCTAGGCAAAACAAACAACAACACAAAACTTCCCCTGGAGGACCCCGTTTGATTGGTAAGTTTAGACGTGGATGGGTTCCACATCGGATGGGTTTCATAAGGCCCATCGATTTTGCCCCAACACATAGGTGAGCTTTGGGCAACATAGATGACTCGATTTGGCCCTTTGGGCCACCCCGATGTTTCGGGGCTTTCAAAAACGGCCCAGGCGCTGAGGTGGTTCGCAGCAGCGCCCCGAGCGCCGCGAGGCTCACCAGGCGCTCGAAGCCTTGCAGCAGGCACGCGGGCACCAGGAAGCCTCCCACGCGCCTCGCGGTCGCTCGGCGACTTCGACGCTTCGGGGGACTTGAGTCACTTGCTCAAAACCCGCGGATTAAAATGGTCGACCCAAGACCATGCTTCAAGAATCAAGAAGGCGGATAGCCGCAGCTATTCATGGTTGGGATTGTCCCTTACTAACCTTCTACCCGGGTTTTGATTGCTGCTCACTTGGGGCTGGTGTCGCCGCTACTCTGTTGGTGCGATAGCTAGGGAATTAGAATTCGAAAGACCCGTGTGAACCGTCCAACTGGCGGTTTCCTGAAATTTCGAGAATCCCTGGGTTCATTCCAACTCATTTGCTAGCTATCACACCAGCAAGCTCTGGTGGCTGGAAACCAAGCCATGCTGGAGCTTTTGGTTGGTACAATCGAGAGGAAACCCAAAGTGGTCGGAGTCCCGCTATTTTACAAACGCTTCACTGGATCTTTGGTAAAGCTTGGCTTGAGAGCCTGCATCGAACTATCTCTCATGCTCCTTCAGGTTTGGAGAACAAGCCTCACTCAAAAATCAGATAAATACATGATTGGGGACACATGATGGGATCAAACAAGAGGCTTTCCTCGCATCTGCCTTGCTTCTTGGCAAAAAGCGCAGGTCAACCCTGGTCCCATTTTCCATGGTTAATGCGTCGCTTTTGAAACAGGATCTGTGAGCTCGGCTTCTTTAGGGAGGGGTGGCCTATTGTGGGTAAACCGTTTTAGGGAGAACTCGAAAAAGCCCTCCGGTTTGCCTCATCTGAGGGGTTTGGTCTCCATCCCACGAGGAAAGCGCGGCTGGCTGATGCCATTGCCAGTGTTCAGCGAATTTGGTAGAAGAAGGGACCCCTTTTTGAGGCTGACGATTGATATTGGGGAATCAAACAAACAGGGAAAACTGAACGACTGGGATTGTAAAACAGGGAGAGTTGGGAATCGTTGTGGTGGCGTGTGGTTGCTAGCACAAGTGAGAATACTGAAAGTGTTTCTCAACGTGAAACATGTTGGTGTGGGTCAAAACCAACGGTACCATTTTGGGGTAGGTGTACCACCCATTTTAGAACCTATTTTAGTGGTTTATTGGGGGTACGATTCGGATTTTGACCCACGGCCATGTCTGCTCCTTTCATGCAGGGCAAATGGTGGTCAAAGGATCTCGCTGCCTGTCCAAGTACAGCGTCAGCACATACCAGGACGTCGTCCACTGGACGCCGGCGGCATAAAACCTGGACACGCATTGCAGAAGTTTCGGATGCGGGGGGGTCATTCTGTGAAGTACACCTTTGGGGTGGCTCTGCAAAGGCCGCGTCCATTCTCACCACTTGAGGGCACCAAAGTTCCGGGGATAGGCAACACCAAGTCCGTGTTTTGCTTACATGGTCCAACCACCGAAAAGTGGCTCAGGGAGTGAGGAAGGCACCAACCAACTTGACTCGGGATGATCCTTTGGCTCATGACAAAAATCAGCTGATGTTTGGCATCAGGAGAAATTGAGTACAGAGGCTCTGGCTTCTGCGCCCAGCCCCGCTGACTTTATCGACTTGTGGGTTTGCCAACCTGCAAACATTTGTCAAGGCATTCACTCAGCTTCCCTCCAATTGGTGGTTTGGCTTGGTGGTTTGGTGGTTCAGGAGGGCTTTCCCAGTTACCGAACGAAATGCCAAACTCTCCGCAGCCCATAGTGGGACGCCACCATCTGGCATAAGGATTCAGGATTGGTTTCGAATCCAGGCAAATGGGCTTGCCTCTCAATAAAGAAGCTTCCAAAACGAATGGTTACCTTTTGCCCCCCTGAAAAACGAAGCCAATCCGGGCACCCTCAAAAGAAGGAGAGCCACCCACCTACCCTCAGATGCACAGTGGATTTCCCTGGGAAGAAAGGGCATCCATTTTTTGCTGGTTGAGTTTAAAGGGGAACTCTACCCCAAAAAAACTGAAAAGGAAGCAACCCACTGGGCAACAGCGTACCGCCCACTTTCGCGCTCATTCTTGGCCATGGAACGGGACCAGCAACAACAGAGGCAGCACCAACTGCGGCAGAGCGCGGGCGTCCGTGGGCTCTGGATCTGGCGACAGCGCTTCCGCGCTTTGAAACAGGGCTGCGAGCTCCGCTGCTTTGCGGTGCCCATTTTGGGGAGTCGGTGGCTATAATAAAGGGAAACCAAAAAGCGAATCAATCTTGTAAGACACATTTGTAAGACACATTTGCTTTGTGAGACAATTTGTTGCCACATCACTTGTTGGGCCCGCTCTTGTAAGACACATTTGCGAAATCAAATGGTCGGCGTTCAAGAGCAGCTATGGAAAGCGCTCGCAAGTCGCGCGCGGAGGCTCGCCAGTCCCCGCTCCCGTTGAATCCATCCACCGGGTTTGGGGGGACAACCCAAGGCATGTTAGTGCAGGTGGTGCGGTGGTGACTAATACTGTGGGGCTCTTTGACCCTTGCAGGCCTCTCCGGCTTTGCTGTCAAGGAAACCAAAGCAAACCCCAACATCATCATTTAATGAGATGAACAACCTCCTCCCCCCTCTCCCCCCTCCCCGCCCACCCCCCCTTCCCCCCGCCCTTCCCCCGCCCTCCCTCCCCCTCCCCCCGCCTCCCTGTGTCATCTGCTTGGAACAGCCTACTCACTCCAACGGGCCCAAACCCGTGCCTAGCAGCCGCTCCTCTTTTTCTTGCATCTCCCACAGCCTCGGTCCCAGGCTTGTAGGATGCCTTCTGCAGAATGAACAATTAATTTCCGAGAAGTCCAACACACAATCGCCCAGCGCTACTGTGGACGGACGAAATCCTGCATTTTGAAACCATGGTTGACACCATAGCGATTGTGGGCATTTGCATGGGAATCATCATGCCTGGATCATGGGATATCATTGTTTGTGGGAATTTACCGGAGAATCGCATCATGCCTTTGAGTTTCTGAACGACGCTGCACGACTTGCGGACTTCGCAAATCAATCCGTCCAGTACGGGGGAATCGCATGCTTTGGCCGTCCACCTGGAGTCTGCCCTACTGTGGATGTTCGCACCACCAAAGAAATCCTGCACACCTGGGTGAGTGTGTGTGTGTGTGAGTGAGTGAGTGAGTGAGTGAGTGAGTGAGTGAGTGAGTGAGTGAGTGAGTGAGTGAGTAAGTGAGTGAGTGAGTGAGTGAGTGTGTGAGTGTGTGAGTGAGTGAGTGAGTGAGTGAGTGAGTGAGTGAGTGAGTGAGTGAGTGAGTGAGTGAGTGAGTGAGTGAGTGAGTGAGTGAGTGAGTGAGTGAGTGAGTGAGTGAGTGAGTGAGTGAGTGAGTGAGTGAGTGAGTGAGTGAGTGAGTGAGTGAGTGAGTGAGTGAGTGAGAGTGTGAGTGAGTGAGTGAGTGAGTGAGTGAGTGAGTGAGTGAGTGAGTGAGTGAGTGAGTGAGTGAGTGAGTGAGTGAGTGAGTGAGTGAGTGAGTGAGTGAGTGAGTGAGTCAGTGAGTGAGTGAGTGAGTGAGTGAGTGAGTGAGTGAGTGAGTGAGTGAGTGAGTGAGTGAGTGAGTGAGTGAGTGAGTGAGTGAGTGAGTGAGTGCAGTGAGTCAGTGAGTCAGTGAGTGAGTGAGTGAGTGAGTGAGTGAGTGAGTGAGTGAGTGAGTGAGTGAGTGAGTGAGTGAGTGAGTGAGTGAGTGAGTGAGTGAGTGAGTGAGTGAGTGAGTGAGTGAGTGAGTGAGAGTGAGTGAGTGAGTGAGTGAGTGAGTGAGTGAGTGAGTGAGTGAGTGAGTGAGTGAGTCAGTGAGTCAGTGAGTCAGTGAGTCAGTGAGTCAGTGAGTCAGTGAGTCAGTGAGTCAGTGAGTCAGTGAGTCAGTGAGTCAGTGAGTCAGTGAGTCAGTGAGTCAGTGAGTCAGTGAGTCAGTGAGTCAGTGAGTCAGTGAGTCAGTGAGTCAGTGAGTCAGTGAGTCAGTGAGTCAGTGAGTGAGTGAGTGAGTGAGTGAGTGAGTGAGTGAGTGAGTGAGTGAGTGAGTGAGTCAGTGAGTGAGTGAGTGAGTGAGTGAGTGAGTGTGAGTGAGTGAGTGAGTGAGTGAGTGGGTGAGTGAGTGAGTGAGTGAGTGAGTGAGTAAGTGAGTGAAGTGAGTGAGTGTGTGAGTGGGTGAAGTGAGTGAGTGTGTGAGTGGGTCAGTCAGTGAGTCAGTGAGTCAGTGAGTCAGTGAGTCAGCGAGTCAGTGAGTCAGTGAGTCAGTGAGTCAGTGAGTCAGTCAGTCAGTGAGTCAGTGAGTCAGTGAGTCAGTGAGTCAGTGAGTCAGTGAGTGAGTCAGTGAGTCAGTGAGTCAGTGAGTCAGTGAGTCAGTGAGTCAGTGAGTCAGTGAGTCAGTGAGTGCGTGAGTGCGTGAGTGCGTGCGTGCGTGCGTGAGTGAGTGAGACAGTGAGACAGTGAGACAGTGAGTGAGTGAGTGAGCGAGCGAGCGAGCGAGCGAGCGAGCGAGGGAGGGAGTGAGTCAGTGAGTGAGTGAGTGAGTGAGTGAGTGAGTGAGTGAGTGAGTGAGTGAGTGTGAGTGAGAGAGTGAGTGAGTGAGTGAGTGAGTGAGTGAGTGAGTGAGTGAGTGAGTGAGTGAGTGAGTGAGTGAGTGAGTGAGTGAGTGAGGGAGTGAGTTGATTCCCCAACGTTAATACCAACAAACGTTGTGGTTTCAACCATGGTTTCTTAGGTGGCGCGAAATGGATTTCGTCCATCCACGGTATGTTTGTCAACGGGAATCTGCCCAGATCAGACTTTGACCAAGACGCACATGGAGGTTTTCCTCCAGGCATTTCCTCCACAACCAAAACAATGACACACACACACAAAACGTCTCCGAAATCCATGAATTAAGACATGACCTCCAAAAGTTCCCCAATTCTCACATTTGCCGACGTCCCCCGATCCGAATCCTTTGCCCAAACCCTCAAATTTCAAACTCCCGAAGTCCTTTGCCGTCTGAGGACTTGCGTCAAACCCTTTTCGGGCCTAGCAGCAACAGCTTTTCGGGCTTCAGGCCCAGCGTGAACCGCAGGACACACCTGGCAACATGCGGTGCAGGTGTCCCGTTCTCACCTTCAGATTTGCTTCTCAGGTCGTTGTAGTTATACCCATATATATATATATATATATATATTTATGTTGTTTTTCTCACCTTATTTTCTCAGGGTCTTTCTTACTTTCTCACCTTTTCTCCCTTTCTCAGAGTTGGTTTGTTCTCTGGTCACTTTGTTGTAGCTTCCTCAGTGCATCGGAAAAAAACAACATGTCCCAAAGTCCTGGTCACTAAGTTGGTCCAAGCCAACCGCAAGCGACTTTCGGTTTCGCCCAAAGGGGCTGGTTTCCTCTGGCCGCTTGCTTTCAAGCACCAACAAAAATGGGTAGCCAAGACCACGTGCTTGAAGCTACGAAAGGACACCATTGTTCTTGGAGTATTTAGCTCCTGCTCCAACTATCGACCTTCAGTCAAGGGTCGACATCATACCCGCCAAAAGTGGGGGCATTTGGCGTGGGTAGACTGATTTGCAAGGGACCCCTAAAGGAACTAGGTCCTCCAGTAGAGAGGTTAGAGTAAGGGTACCCTTTTTTTCAATACTCTATTTTAGTAGGGCAACTCTCCCCCCAAAAAAGGGGAGAGAAGGGCACCTAGCTGGGGGACCTCGGGAAACTTCGTGTTGGAAAGTTGCTTGAGGATCTTCGCGTCTTTGTTTCGTTTCAAGGGAAGGCATGGAGACATTGGGAGGACTTCTCTGGTTGAACTTTAGACGAAGTCCGCTTCTCAGATCCCCTTCGGGTTTGGGGAATACTGCACCCACTCTGAAACCATGGAATCGAGCGCCATAAAGCAGGCAGATTTCATCGTGATTTATTGTTTCTTCTTTTTGGGGGATCCCCCAGACCCAAAAGTGGCCATGGGAAAAAACAAGTTGGCAGGCTTTTTCAGTTGAACCAGCTTTTTCCCTTGTGGTTTCTTCAGGGTGGTTCCTTTTGTTACGTACAACACCAGGAAAATGGATCCGCTGTGTGTATATTAGAATAGCGGGCCCGCGTCAAAAGTGGCATCTTTTAAACTTTTGGTTTTCAAAAGCCCGTTCCAAAAGCGTGCAATTGAAAAAAGACATACCCGAGCAGTTTTGCTAGGGACAAAAGAGTTGGCTGTCTGTTTTTTGATTTTAATGTTGACCCGGGATAAATAAACCCCAGTGGAAGGATATAGTGGGGGATTCAGACCACTTTTGGAGGACTCCCACCCACCCCCATATTAATAAGCTGGGGTCGAGTACTCTTGGGTCAACATGAAAGGGATCCCCCTTCCAAAAGGAAGGAAGGGCTTCTGGGTCCTCCAGTAGTTAGAATATGGGTACCCTTTTTTCAGGACGTCTATTTTAGGGGAACCGAATCTCCCAACCAAAAAAGGGGTGAGAACGGGCACCTAGCTGGAGGACCTAGGCTGGCAAATCACTGGAACTCCATGCAACAAAACCCCGCTCCTCGTTCCTTAGCAACAGCGCGCCTGGCCCAGGCGAGCGGCATGCCTGGCAAGACACGAGAGTGAGCTGCTCGGGTTCACCCCTGGCAATGGACCAGTGATCAGCTCTTTGGGACGAATGGACGGGAAAGAACCAACAAACAAGTAAGGGTTGAAAGGCGGGACTGCGGGGGTACCACCAAGAACATGGGAACGCGGTCTTAGGCCCTGGTCTTTGTGGTTGCCCAAATTCCACCCTCAGCCTGTTCTTGGCCGAAATCCGAAAGCTGACACAGAGCTGCCAGTGCTGGTGGAAAGAAGTGGGCGCCGTTTCAGGGAACCCAGGAATCGAACCGAGAACCGTGGAACCGAACCGTACGAACCGAACCGTCTGCGAACTGTTGTTTTCACAAGCCGAACCGAACCGAACCGTCCAGAGGAAAACAACCGAATCGTTAGGTTTAGAGCTTGGCGAGCAGCCAGACAAGGCTCCCTCAGACAAGAATGCAACTTCAGCCAAAATGCTAACAATTTGCTCTTACATAGCCATGCTGACCAGAGAGCCAGTCATTTAGCTGGACAGGGTCCAAAGACATAAGTGGTCCCTCTGGAGTAGGCCCAAGTACAAGCAATCTCCCAGGTTGCTAAACAAAACTAAACTTCAGCAGCCCAGGGCAGGCTGTGATGCATTGCAAAAGATATCCCACCAAAAGCGACCTCAAGGCCCTTGCCCTTGCTCAACCAACATATTGGGGGAAGGTATCTGCTGGCGGGACTGAGCTGATGAGACTGGAGGTGAAGCTGGGCGTATGGCTGCTAACTGACGGTGGCGGTGAAGTGGTGGGTCGGGCTGGAAAGGCTCGAGGTGAGGCTGGTGAGGCTGGAGGCAGGCTAAAGGTAATCGGTGAGGCTGGAAGTGAGGCTGGAGATGAGGCTGGAAGTGAGGCTGGAGCTGAGGCTGGAGATGAGGCTGGAGGTGAGGCTGGTGAGGCTGGAAGTGAGGCTGGCGAGGCTGCAAACGGCTGGGTCGTGAGAGTGGTGGTGGAGCTGAAGGTGAAGGTGAGGCTGGAGGGGATGCTGGTGAGGCTGAAGGGGAGGCAGGTGAGGCTGGAGGGCTGGAAAGTGAAGGTGGCTGGTGAGGTGAGGCTGGAAGTGAGGCTGGGCAGACGCTGGCTGGAGGTGAAGGTCGTGAGAGTGGAGGTGGAGCTGAAGGTGAAGCTGGAGGTGAGGCTGGTGAGGCTGGAGGTGAGGTTGGAGGGGATGCTGGTGAGGCTGAAGGGGAGGCAGGTGAGGCTGGAGGTGAAGGTGGTGGGGCTGGAGGTGAGGTTGGAGGGGATGCTGGTGAGGCTGAAGGGGAGGCAGGTGAGGCTGGTGGGGCTGGAGGTGAAGGTGCTGGGGCTGGAGGTGAGGTTGGAGGGGATGCTGGTGAGGCTGAAGGGGAGGCAGGTGAGGCTGGAGGTGAAGGTGGTGGGGCTGGAGGTGAAGGTGGTGGGGCTGGAGGTGAGGTTGGAGGGGATGCTGGTGAGGCTGAAGGGGAGGCAGGTGAGGCTGGAGGTGAAGGTGGTGGGGCTGGAGGTGAAGGTGGTGGGGCTGGAGGTGAAAGCGAAGGTGAGGCTGGTGAGGAGGCTGGTGTGATGCTGGTGAGGCTGAAGAGGGGGACGTGAGGCTGGAGGTGAAGGCAGGTCAGGCTGGGAAGGCAGGCGAGGCTGGAGGTGAGGCTGGAGGTGAAGGTGCTGCAAGCAGCAGGCTGGCTGGAGGAGGTTGTAAGGCTGGAAGTGAGGCTGGTGAGGTTGAAGGGGAGAGGTGCAGCTGGGGGTGGAGAGGCTGCAGGCAGGCTGGAGGTGAGGCTGAAAATGAGGCTGGAGGTGAGGCTGGAGGCGAGGCTGGTGAGGCTGCAGGCAGGCTGGAGGTGAGGCTGTGAAAGTGGAGTTGGGGATGGAGGTGGTGCTGAAAGTGTTAATGAGTGCCTTGTGATAGAGACAGGAGGCTGGCACGCCGAGGCTAAGAGTGTGGCGCGCGGCTGGAAGTGGCACAGTGCAATCATCCGTGAACCGAAAAAATACCATAGTAACCGAACCGAACCGAATTCAGATGAGAAACCGAACCGAGCCGTAATTAAACAGGTTAGGTTTCTGGAAACCGAACCGAACCGAACCGTGGCCACTCTGCCGTTTGCGAGTTTTTGGGGGCCAGGACAGTCATAGGTGGCCTCTTGGAAAAGAAAGGTGGCCATGGGCAAACGGAATACCCATCTAAACAAGTGGAACCCATCTATCCTTAACCCAACTAATCGATCAAAAGGACGGCTATGAGATCCTATGAGAACAGTTTTTGAGTCAAACCAAATAAACAACATTTGGGTGGCTTGTCTGTTTCCGAGGGTGCCTTGTCGATTTTCTGATTCAAGGGGCAAGCAAAAGGAAAACCGCCAGTTTTCGGGAGCCCCCGTATTTTGATCACATACCCAAGTACCACTAGTTTCCCCTGTCCTTTTGACAACCCGCCCCCCGTGCATGGACACTTATGTTGCAGCCAACAACCCAAAAACAAACCCATCGCCTAAACAAAGGTCGCAAACTAGTCCCCAAGTGTTCCCACCTCCCCCCCCCACCCCACCACCCCCTCGCCAGCCACCCAGCCGCCCCTCCTCGCGGCGGCAGGCAGCAGGCGCCCAGCAGCAGCGCCAAGGCGCCGCTGAGCAGCGCCCAGTGGTCGCGGCGGTAACTCTCCGCCCAGGCCGCCTCGGAGTGGCTCCGGTCCCGCCCCGCGAAGGTTCGAGGCGTTTTGGTCCGACGGAAAGGCGGAAGCTGGGGGGTTGGTTTCGAGGGGTTGGCCGTGAACTTCTTCCCTGTTGGCCTTTGGCCTTTAAAACAGGCTGAAGGCTTCTTCCCAGAATCAAAACATTGATGAAGGATGTACCTTCTGGGGTTCAAGGGGAATCTCCTTAGAATCACCAGGGGGCAAGGATCTAGCTTTTGGTGTACAAGAAGGCTTCCAGACTCACTGGAGGTCAAGGATGTAGCTTTGGGGCGAGAAGGGGTCGTCACAATTCCCGAAAGAAACGGGGGGCGGGGGTGTTGGAATCACAAGGGTCCAGAGAAAAGTTGAAAGCCCTGTCCAGAGACAAGTTTAGACAACGGCTTTGTGTCGCCCCCGAAATTGGGGCTTTTGCAATCCAAAAACCGTAGACACCCTCGCGGCACTCATCATCTTGCAGGCCATGGAGGCCGATCGATCAACATTTCTTGGCAATTCATTTCGTATTGGCGTTTTCAGGCTTTCGCGTTTGTCCAGCCACCCAGGTCCTCCAGTAGAGAGGTTAGAATAAGGGTACCATTTTTTTTCTGTAGTCTATTTTTGGTAGGGGAACCCAAAAATGGACAACCTAGCCACCCTCTGGACCCTGGTGAGTATGTTTCCCCCCCGGCGAGTCCAAAGCCGGCACCACCTCCGCGTCCCAGAGCTCACGACCGCGGCGCAGCTCCGATGCCCGCCATGGCCCCGAAGGAGAGGCAACCCACGAAGGCCTGCGGTGTTTTTTATTTGAGGGGCGGCCTTCCGTTTTGGTGTTTTTACGTTGGTTGCCTTCTGTTCTTTTGTGTGTGCCTTCTGATTTTTGTTTTTTGTTTTTATTTGTTCGTTTTTGTTTTTTGCATCGCTGTAAGTCCGTTTTTTTTGTTTTGTTTTTCGCCCACTGGAAAAAATGAGCAGAGAGTTCCGGTAGTGAAAGTGATTCCCTTCACCGAGAAGCGAAGATAAACACATATTCATTTCAGCAGACGGAAGCTTTTCGGGAACGGTTGTCCTGTTGGTGTCCCAGAGGTTCCAGCGGTTTCTGCCAGATTGTCCTGTTGGTGCCCCTCTCAGGGAAACCACCCCCAAAAACGGCCCCCTGACAAAAGCAGACATGCCCATCTATGATGTGTGGATGGAAAACACGAGATCCAATTGTTTGCAGCACTTTATGAAACTACGGGTGAAACCAGAACAATTTGTCGCAGCTAGTAGCTACAGGGGAATCATCATTCCAGGAAATCTTTGGTGGTTTCTTGATTGCGCCCAACAATCTCCGTCTCTCCCCGAAAACACGACCTACCATGAGCTCCTTGAGGATTCCTTCTGTCAGGTTTGGGAAGGATCACAACTGGAACCTGAAGAGAGACACCTACGATCACCGCACTGACAAGGAGACACCTACGTAGCCTACGCCCCAACAAAACACGGACCGACCATGTTCCAAGGACCTGCATGAGGTTTCGTATGAGCGGAGCCCGCTTTCTTTTTTTGCAGTTCCCTGTGGGCCCAAGCTCGGGGTACACCAAAACAAACATCATCAACTGAAAACATATATATATATATAATATTTGGTACCCCCCCAAAAAAAAAAGAGAAAGAAAAAACACCTACACCCCAAGGAAATTTGCATATACATATATATATATATATATTATGATCATATGACGTGTGACTTGTTTAAGGGCACGGCCCAACATGGTCTTGGTTTCCCGTTAAAACCGCCAGAACCGGGTACCTTCAGAAAAAGCACGCCCATATTAGAGATCCCGTGCTGGATATGTTGACCAAACCTCATATAGGTTTGTGTCCAGCAAAGGGACACCAACACATCCAACAAATCATGGGGGAAATGGACGGCACCCGCCCCAACTTGGGCTTCACACAACCCTAGAGTAGCTTCAAAGAAAACGGGTAGCATCTGGGAAACAAGTCTATTCTCAGACACCATCGGTTTGAATTCATGTTGCTTATCACACAGCACCAACTGGAAATCAGGAACCCCGAAGCAAAGGCGCTTCATTCTGGGTGAGCAAGTTGTGCCCACCGCGCGCTGTAATTGGTGGGATTTCAGGCTTCCACCCTAACATGGAGCCCGCAAAGCCTCCAGTCTTACTCAAACCCGAAAAGGGCAGTCGATTTGTTTCTCGGCCGCTCCTTTTCAAAGGGAAATGCCACAGCCAAAGGCAAGGACTTGCCAGCCGCGGGTCAAGATACCTGGAGGCCCGTCCGGCACAGGTCAACTGCTTGACCCGAAGAGGCCCATTACGCAAAAAATTGGAATCTTAGTGTTAGTGTTATAGGCTCCACAATTCTGAATACAAAAAAGGTATCCTTAGCTTTGGTTGAAAATGTTTCGCTAACCTGGGGCTGGGGTACACAAAAAAACAACCACATGTTAGATGCTTATAGATGATTCTGCTTCATATATTCTGTCAACCTCGAACAACTACACATCTTGCCTGCGACCCACGGGGCCAATCTTTGGGCCGCCGCTTTCCCGCCTGCATGAGCCCAGTGCGGCAGGCGCCCTCGGGCGCGGCTTTCCTGGATGCGGGTTGGGTGCGAGCAATCTTGTCCGCCCACCAGAAGATGTCCCACATGTTCAGCAAAAATATATCCCCCGTTTGGCCCGTTACTGTCCTCAAGAGGGTCTGGGTAGAGATGCAAGGAACTCTTCATTCCCCCCCCCCTCCCCCCCTGGCCTAACAGCATCCATGAGCATTCACAACCAGCAAAAGGCAATGCTTCGCTTCAATCCTTCAACCGACCTGCTGAATAAGTTGGACAACCTAAGAAAAAACAACTCCATACAACTTATTGTCCAGACATTGTCTTAAACCTTTGGTTTCCCTTTGCTTTTATTCCCTGGGGGAAAATGGCTCACAACTCATGGGCTGTTCATTGGGGCCCTCAGCTAGGCGAAGAAAGGAAGTGGAAAAGCAAATGCGGATGGCATGTTGAAGGGGCAAGCCATCCGCTGGAAGCAATGGCCCATGTCAGAGGGAAACTTCAGGGCAGGTGGAGCTGGCAAAAAGCGCCACTTTGACCTTCAAGACACGTCATGATGCCACCGGCGTGTTTGGTCACGTTGGAAAGAACACGTGATGGCAACGTTCTGCGCGATGGGCGCGTTGGTGACTTGGCTAACGAATACGCTTAGGTCTCCTTTTGAAGCCCCATTTCCCCAGACAAAAGGGCACCAATTCAACTAGGTCCTCCAGTAGAGAGATTAGAATAAGGGTACCTTTTTCTGTAGTCTATTTTAGTAGGGGAACCCGCAACCAAAAAAGTTGGTCAAAGGGCACTACTGAAAAGGGCCCTTAGCTGCGCCTAGCTGGGGGACCTAGTCAAGAAGACCGCCAAGCCGCGCCTGGTCAGCACGGGCATCGCGCTGGTCACGGCGCCATAGCCGAGGGCATAGGTCAGCATGGTGCAACACACCAGGGACTGGCCGTGCCTCGAAGCGTTGGGCCTTGGGCTACTTTAAAACCATATTTCGTCAACCCCGACATCATGCAACGAGGAGTACATCCAGGCAATTGCACCAAAAACACACCAACCCGTGATTAGTCAGGATGATTACAATGGGTAACAGTTGTATCTTGCGGCTCAGTCGTGCAGAAAGCGTTTGAATCTCAGAATCTATCATTGGAATTCTGTCTGCTGCCAGCTCAACCCAGTAGTCAACGTCACCGGAAGGTGTCCAATGACACAGCGTGAATCGCGAGACATCTCTTGAACACAATCCTGACGCCAGCGCCCCTTCAACGATACGGGGCAAAAGGCCCGTGTCGTCTAGCTTCACCTAGCTGGGTTGCTCCCTCCGCTCAATGCCGCCGACCTCTAGGTTTACCGGAAAAGCCATTTGTGAAGCCAAAAGGTCCAGGCTTGACTCAGTCCAAACGGCCCAAGAAATCGGGGCTAAAGTCTCAAAATGCGGGGAGGGAACACAATCGGTGGTTTGCTTTTGGGTTTCCTTTATCCAAAAGGCCCAAAACGACCGGGGTTGAAGACCAACATGGTAACCTCAAGGGTTTCGATTCCGTTCCGGCGGCTTCCTTTTGCGTGCCTAAGCCCATCCCAAAGAGGTGCCCTGAAAATAGATCGGGCCCCCTGAAAAAGGTTAAGCAATATTTGCTGGTTGGAGCGAACAAACATCGTTTTTCTGAAAGGTTAAGATGTTTGTTCGATCGTACCAACGAGAAATCAAGGAAAACAACTGTCCAGTTATGTGATCCGTTTTAATTCCCTTGTTTGGGACCTCCCCCCCCCTTTTCCTTCGTACCAGGATGTTAACATTAACTCACTGGCTGAGTGGATGGCCCAAAAAAAGTCCAAACTTTATATTTACCACTAAAATGGTCTTCCCAAAAAAAAATACACCAGCATAGACCCCAGATAGCAATGATTGCACACCAGCACCTCCAACAGCACCCCCCAGAGCGTCCCAAACAGCACCCGGCCGTCAATCGAGCACCCGCGCCATCACTAGCACCTCCAACAGCACCCCAAACAGCATCCCAAAACAGCACCTGCAGCAGCACCCCAAACTGCATGCCCCTGCCCAAACTGCATGCCCCCGTGCACCCTACCGTCAAGATGCAAAAACACCGCCACCCCCAAGACAGCAGCTGCACCAGCACCCCCAAACTGCATGCCCCCTAGCACCCTACCGTCAATCTTGAAAAGATGCGCCCGCACTGCCATCAGCACCTCAAACAGCACCCCAATCCGCAAAAACCAGCACCCCAAACTGCACGCCCCATAGCACCAGCCCATCAATCTCGCAAATCACTTCCCCCTCTTTATTAGAAGTTAGAACCCCTATAGCTTTCAGCTATCTGGGGAATAAAGTTCATGAACTCAGGAAGTGAGTTAAAGAGAACAGCCAGCCAACGACCAGACCAAGGTCTGCCAGTTTGAGGCCCGAGCAACAGCAGGTGCTGCGACGCTGCCAGCGCAATCAAGATGGTGACCAGTACTTCCAAGAAGCACCCGATGAGGACCTCCAGCACCCGATTTTCTCCCGTGGGATTTCCAGAAAAACAAGGGCCACACGTCTTGTTCTTTTCTTTTCTGGTTGATTTTTATTGACGGCTTGTTGCCCCTTCCAAAAAAAAGGAAAAAGGAAGCAATCCACTGAACCTCAGCGCTAAACCGAGGAGTTACTTGCTTTCTAGAATTTGAGGCAAGGGCAATGTAAGATGGTACCAAACGTGACCCAGGGCCGTCAGATCCCAATGATACTACAGCGGTTGATTGTAGCACCTTCAGAACAACGGGATTTGTGTGGTATCACAAAAAGTGATGCTGTGGACAAAATCCACCTTGTACGAGTTGGTGTGGATGGAATAATTACTGGGACAACCATCTACCAAGATGTTGCGAAGTGGATTTTGTCCAAAAGTGGTTGATTCCAGGGCTACGGTGGATGGTTGCGAAATCCATTTTGCACCGTTCAGAAACCCTGGTTTCAAGTTCGCCTGTCAAAACGTTGTGGTTTCAACCCATGGATTCATTTCGTGGGTGTAAGGAGGTGGAAAGAGTGGTCATACCTCTGTCTCAGAGCTGCTGGGTCTATCTTTTCCTTTCCCTGCCATTGAGTCTCTTTTCCGTTGCCCAAAGGACCTGCAACTAGAAGGTTAACCTTTTGGGGCCATGACTAAATATGGACCAAAATGGGAAAACCAAAAGGTGCAAAGGTCGATTCGCTTTGAACAACTGAGTGAACATTCCAGTCCCCACTAAAATAGGTTCTAAAATGGGTAGTGACCTACCCCAAAATGGGATCCCACTGGTTTTGACGCAGGGAATAGAAACACAGGACACAACTCGACGTCCGCGAAGCGCGCCATGCGCGGCAGCGGCGCGCCGACGCGCTGCTGCCAGGCGCCCAGCACGAAGGGCGCAACGGAGCAGGTGGCGGACAGAAACCTCAACCGAGAGATATGGCCATGGGTCATAACCTACTGTGGATGGACGAAATCCTGCACCACCTAAGAAACCATGAAAAACCATTGTTTGCTGGTATTTGCAGGGGGTATTTGAGAGACAGAACCCCGACAGAAACCCCAGTGTTGGCATGTTGTTTGGTTCTTTTATCTTTTTTGGAGGGGTTATTTGTTTTTTTGTTTGGATTTTTCCGAAAACGTCGAACACGTCGAAGCGAAATGGTCATGGGTCATAACCTATGGCGATCCCATTTTGCGGGTGGAACATCCATTTGCCACCGATTTTGATGTTCACCAGAAAATTCCTGGGTGTTGACCCACAGCCATAGGTCCATGCCAAGTTTCCACCTGGGAACTCATCCCCCAGAAAGAAATCCATCAGGGAGCTGCGATTTGCAGATCTGCAGCGTCTTGCCCCTCATCCCAAATTTCCAAGCCTCACGAAGAACGAAACCAGCTGATTGGCCTTTCGTGTGAAGCGCAAGCCGTTTTGCGTCCAGTGTTTCGCAACCCGGTAGTAATCAGGGAACTTTGAAATGCTCCCCACACATTTCACATGGAACCCAAAAGGGGGCCCTTTGCTTTTTCTTGATTCATCCTTATCCTTGCTTTTGTGGGTTCATTTGTGCTATCTTTGCTTGCTTGGCTTGTTCGTTTGCTTGTGCTCCGTTGCCTTGGTCAGACATCACTTCCTTCAAGACAATGGTGGTCTTCTGGGTTGCAATGGCGCCCCCCCACCCAAAAAGCTTCCCTTCCAGCGCTTCGCAAAAATGACTCACTTCCCACAAAGCCACAGTCTAAAGATCTTTCGAAACGATGCTACGAGCTTCCACGGGGAACTTCAAAAGTGCTTGGAAATCAACCCCCACCGAAATTAAATCCACATATAGGCCCCTAATTAAAATTCAAAGCCATATGGGGGTTGATCAAACGGTCCGGTAAACATGGGATGTCCATTGGTCGCGAAACCGCTAGAAACACGAGATGTACTTCCCACATGGGAAAAGTTGCCCATGATCATGGGGCCGAAGGAAATATTGACCCACCCCATGTGGATGGACGCAATCCTGCATACCACCTATGGTTTCATAAAGTCGTGAGAAGTGATTTTGCAATCCTCCAAGGGGACCCCTTTTTGGTGGTGACACCAACAGGACAACCCAAGCCTTATTATTGTATTTTCCTTTGTTTTTTGGCGGGGGGGCAGGGGGTGCTCCAAAGAAAAGGCACACCCAGATTGTGGATGAAAATCAACCTTCCGCAGGAAAACACCTGATTATTCCCCCTGTAAATACCAACAAACCTTGTGCTTGGTTTCTTAGGTGGTAAGGGAATTCACAACCATCCACAGTAGATTGGAGCAGGCGCATAGATTCCCAGGAAGTCTATACCCCATTTCACCCACAAAAGGTCACCTCTTGGCGGGTAAAGCAGTTGGTTTCTCCACCCAGTTTGAATCCGCGGGTTTGTTCCTAGGATTGGAGCCAAAAACCGAACGTCGACCCTTGCACCTCCCAAACTCGAGGATCCAACTCGGCGGCCCGGAGGCGATTTCGGAGTCTGGATCTGGCCTTTGTGGATCCACCCGTGAAGGATATGAAACGAGGCCCTATGTCCCCAAGCTTGGACTGCCCAGCCATGGGGTCTGCATTTGTTTCTTGGTTTTCTCGAGGTTTTGAGAACTAACAACTTGTGGGTGCGATAGGCAGGGAATGAGAAATGGAAGGATCCCCTAGATCCAACTGGTGGTTTCCTTTAAGTAAGGGAACCCCAAGACACGTCCTTCTCAACCACATTCCGTACTTATCTCACCAGCAAGACAAAGGAAGAACCGGCAAGAAATCCCAGCAAAAAAAACGCCTCCAACGCGTTTTCGACCGGAGCAAACACCACCAAACAACGCCTCCACCGCGTTTTCTGCCGGCGAACTCCCACCAAGAAACGCCTCCAGCGCGATTTCGAGCGGCGAACTCCCCCCATTTTTGGGCGCCGCTTTCCACCACGCCGAGTTCTCGTTGGTTGATCCCAGGAGCTTGGCGGCCCGCTGGGCGCCATTGGCGCCGAAGCCGCCCAGGGACCTGGGGGAAGCCCCCGAAAAGGTCCTCCAGATTTGAGAGGTTTGAGGTCAGGGGGCCGACTTTTTTTTTTCCGGATTCGTCAATTTGTTTTTAGTGGGGGAACCGAATCTCCCAACCAAAGAAGGGGAGAGAAGGGCACTACTGCGGGACCTAGGTGTTGTTTGGATTGGCCGCGCTGCGAAACATGTGCGGAAGCCAAAAAGTCCGGGGAAAACAGAAGGAACCCCAGGCAGGGAATAAAAGGTCAGGCTCTCTTTTTACTTTGGTTGATTTTCCAACCCAAGCAGTATAAGCAAGCAACTCCTGGGTGCGTTTTGCTGCCCCACCAAAAAATGAACAGAACCAAAACAGAACATGACCCAAGAACAGTGAAATATTGAGATTTGAAAGGGACACCCCCAGCAAAGAAGGCACGACAATCGCATGTCTGGGCTAAGGTTGCTCAGATTCTAGAGGGGGATGGACAACGAGAGTCGTGTTTTTTTGGGAGCGTGTTGAATTTAAAGGGCGGGGTTCTCCCAAGGGGAGTTGCTTGCCAAGGAGAACAAGGGCGCTACGTGTCTATTGTCTTTTTGTTGGGGGGTACCGGGGTCCAATTTTCTGGAGGCCAAACAAGTTTGTCATGTGGCACCTGTATGAGACACTCTGAAAGGAATCCAGGCTTATCAGCGGACAACACGCACGAGTGTTTCCCAAAAGGGTATCGGGGAACTTTGGCCGGGGTGCAAGCAGTATTTTAGATTACGAATGATATCCTTTGCCACAATCCATCTTTGTGACTTTAGCTCAAGGGCTTCAGGAACCAAAAGCCGCAAGAGTGATGGTCAGTTCGCAGGCATCCCCCGGATTTAGTGCATGGGGCGGTTGCAACTGTATGACTGTATGATAGCTGACGGCCTTCCCACATCTCCGGTCGGAAACTGGGGCGGTTTTCCCACGAGCTACAACTTAGGTGGTGACTTTGTCGCAGGAACAGATGGCGCGCTCTTAAATGGCGCTCCTCGGGGACACGACTTGCTTTGAAACCAACCCAACCAGCCTGCCCAACCATCATCCCCTGAAACCAGGAAGTTAGAACCCCTCTAAACTGGGTTGCTCCAAGCCTCACCTTTTGCATGGAAACACATTGTAAACCCAGAAAGCAACTATAACAGGAAAACTGCAGTTCAAACCGACATGCATTTTTTGAGTCCCTATTTAAAGCACCCAAATGCTCTTGGATCAGCCACTATAGAACTAAAGTGCAGCATGGATTGGAAGACAGGGGTCGCTGGATTTCCCGCTAAGTTGATCATTTTTCTGCTTTCCACCAAAACGATCACCTTTTTTTTTGGAGGTTCCAAAAAAGGAAATTGAAAAAACCTGCACCACCGTTCAGAAACCCTGGAATGATGATTCCCCCGCAAATACCAACGAGCGTTATGGTTTCAACCCTGGATTCATTTTGTGGTGCGCCCGGATTTTGTCCACCGACAGTAGATTGGAGGAGGACCCAAAACGTCTACAACCCCATTTCACCCTCCTACAAAAGGACCCTTTAACGGGCAAAGTCGGGTATTGGTTTTTCCACCACCAACCCAGCCTGAATCTTTTGCAGGCAAAAGGAAACCTCCCTATTTTCCCCTGTAGTGGACTCCAACAGGACAAGTTTTTCTTAGTGCACCATCTTCTTCTTTTTGGGGGGGTTCAAGAAAATACACCAGCATAGACCCCAGATAGCACACCACGGATACGAACCATGACGCAGCATTATCATGATGATGTAGACCATGATGACACCACAGCCACGGAACAAACGCACAGACAACGTCCTAATGAGATCAGCAGCATAATGTTGATTTTGAGAGCAATCCGGCAGGAAAACGCAAAAACGAGGTCCTGATGAGTTCGACAGCATCATGATGATGCGGACAGCATCATGATGATGCGGACAGCATCATGGTGATGCGAACAGCATCATGCTGATGGTAAAGGCAGCATCATGATGATACCACAGCCACGAACCATCTTGCGACAGCTTAATGAAATTCTGCATCATCCTGATGTTGACAGCATCACGGCGCCACTGCACCCACACACCATAACGTGGGAACATCATGACGATACACCAGCCACGAACCGTTACACGCGAACAGCATCCACCAGCACCCCAAACATGCCCCCTAGCACCCGGTACAACCAAAGCAGCATCCACCCGCGCCTCAAACTGCATGCCCCTTAGCACCCGGCCGTCAAGCTCGCAAAGCAGCATCCACCAGCACCCCAAACTGCATGCCCCAGAGAACCGGCCGTCAAGCTCGCAAAACAGCATCCACCAGCACCCCAAACTGCATGCCCCATAGCACCCGGCCAGCTCGCAAAACAGCATCCACCAACAGCCCAAACTGCATGCCCCCCAGCACCCGGCCGTCAAGCTCGCAAAACAGCATCCACCAGCACCCCAAACTGCATGCCCCTAGCACCGGCCGTCAAGCTCGCCGGCCAGCTCGCAAACCAGCAGCCCCCCACCCGGCCGTCAAGCTCGCAAAGCAGCATCTACCAGCACCACAAACTGCATGCCCCGTAGCACCCGCAAAGCAGCACCCACCAGCACCCCCAACTGCGTAGCACCCGGCCGTCAAGCTTGCAAAACAGCATCCACCAGCACCCCAAACTGCATACCCCCTAGCACCCGGCCGTCAAGCTCGCAAAGCAGCACCTACCAGCACCCCAAACTGCATGCCCCAGAGACCGGCCGTCAAGCTCGCAAAGCAGCACCCACCAGCACCCCAAACTGCATGCCCCCTGGCACCCGGCCGTCAAGCTCGCAAAGCAGCATCCACCAGCACCCCAAACTGCATGCCCCCTAGAACCGGCCGTCAAGCTCGCAAAACAGCATCCACCAGCACCCCAAACTGCATGCCCCCTAGAACCGGCCGTCAAGCTCGCAAAACAGCATCCACCAGCACCCCAAACTGCATGCCCCATAGCACCCGGCCAGCTCGCAAAACAGCATCCACCAGCAGCCCAAACTGCATGCCCCCCAGCACCCGGCCGTCAAGCTTGCAAAACAGCATCCACCAGCACCCCAAACTGCATGCCCCTAGTACCCGGCCAGCTCGAAAAACAAAACAGCATCCACCAGCACCCCAAACTGCATGCCCCCAGCACCCAGCCGTCAAGCATGCCCCCGAGCACCCGGCCGTCATCGCAAAGCAGCATCTACCAGCACCCCAAACTGCATGCCCCGTAGCACCCGCAAAGCAGCACCCACCAGCACCCCCAACTGCGTAGCACCCGGCCGTCAAGCTTGCAAAACAGCATCCACCAGCACCCCAAACTGCATACCCCCTAGCACCCGGCCGTCAAGCTCGCAAAGCAGCACCTACCAGCACCCCAAACTGCATGCCAGCACCTACCAGCACCCCACACTGCATGCCCCCTAGCACCCGGCCGTCAAGCTCGCAAAGCAGCATCCACCAGCACCCCAAACTGCATGCCCCCCATGCCCCCTAGCACCCGGCCGTCAAGCTCGCAAAGCAGCATCCACCAGCACCCCACACTGCATGCCCCCTAGCACCCGGCCGTCAAGCTCGCAAAGCAGCACCCACCAGCACCCCAAACTGCATGCCCCCTAGCACCCGGCCGTCGCAAAGCAGCACCCACCAGCCGCACGCCCCCTAGCACCCGGCCGTCAAGCTCGCAAAGCAGCACCCACCAGCACCCCAAACTGCATGCCCCCTCGCACCCGGCCGTCAAGCTCGCAAAACAGACCTCAAACTGCATGCCCCCGAGCACCCGGCTGTCAAGCTCGCAAAGCAGCATCCACCAGCACCTCAAACTGCCTGCCCCCCAGCACCCGGCCGTCAAGCTCGCAAAGCAGCATCCACCAGCACCTCAAACTGCATGCCCCCTAGCACCCGGCCCTCAAGCTCGCAAAGCAGCATCCACCAGCACCTCCAACTGCATGCCCCCGCAAAGCAGCATCCACCAGCACCTCAAACTGCATGCCCCCTAGCACCCGGCCCTCAATCTCGCAAATCACTTTCCCCTCTTTATTAGAAGTTAGAACCCCTATAGCTTTCAGCTATCTGGGGAAAAACGAAAGAACTAGAAACCAGAATAATAATTTTGACCTATGCCCAGCTACGATGTTTTCCTTTTCTCCCCCGCCCCCCAACAAAGAAAGACGACGATTCCGGATTCCGGACTTCGGCTTTCGTCTCGGCGCTGGAAGAGGATGATCTGGTTGGCGAAGAGCGCGTTCCGGGCGAAGCCGTCCGCCAGGCGGAAGGCCAAGCACCCCGCCGCGTGGGGCACCGAGGCCATGGCGCAGGGCGCCGGGCGACCAGCGCGCTCGGAAGACCCGGGGATCGCGTCTGGGGGCCAAATTTGCCTTTTTGGTGTCTCTTTTTTGGGGAACCCCATAAAATGTGGTGTTTTATTGTTGGGGGAACCCGAACAAATATGCGGCGTCATGTTTTGGGGGGAACCCGAAATTCCTGGAGAAAAGGGCGCCCAGCAGAGATTCCGGGTCCCCGGACTCTGAGACAAACCCCTACACTTGGCTCGATGACTTTTGATGCTTGGAACTGAGAAGAGGTGGGTGGAAACAAATCCCATGCAAATGTGCAAAAACACACTCCAAGTACTCAAAATACCTGAATAAATGTTGAAACCCGGTTTTCAGTGGCAAATGGCATCCTTTTCAGTCAACCGGTTGACTCCGGACGAGAGCGAAGCAAGTGAGCTAGTTGACCGGCCACAACGCTGAAAGCTGCGCGCATCTTGAAACTCTCTGGGCCCGTTGCAGCCCGATTCGCCAGGCGCTGACTCAGCAGTTTCTCGAAGCAAGCGGTAAGGGTTGACCAAATCCACGTGTACTCATGTTCCGAAAGGTGGCAATCTCGTGCCCAACCAGGAAGTGGTTGACAAACTCATGGTAAGCCCCACCGGGCAATGCACAAATCCTTCTTGGACATATCAACCATGTCAACCACACAAAAGCTGAAGTGGGGTGGTCATACTGTGGATTAGTTGGTAGGTGGTCTATCCCGTTATTCACGGGGTTTCATCTATCCCAAGTGCTGCGAAATGGATTTCGTCCACAGCACCGTACCGAGACCCCCCAAAGAGGATCAAAGCGTCAAGTGGGCCGGGCTCGAGCCGGGCAAGGAGGCCTCCGTGCTCCTGGTCCCCAAGGCCGTCACTTCGCCCAAGGAAACACAACGGCCAGTCATCTTGGTTGCTGCAACGACCCTGCAAAAAGTTGAACTGCTTGGGGGTTTAGTGGAAAACTCCGCTATATTCCCAGAAGTTAAAGTCTAAAGATCCAACCCAATAGCAATCAAGTACCCTTCTTCAGCTGGTCATTCCCGGAAAACACGGGCATCCGCCAGTGAGGATATTCCGGCACAGACCTAGAACCAGGTGTCGACCAGGCAATCCCGGCGCAGCAGCGCCTTTTAAAGTCTAAAGATCCAGCACTGTTTCCAGGTGGATATGAACCTGATCGATATGAACCTGAGACTTCCAGGTAGACCAAATAGACACTTATTTATCAATTGCCTTCTTGAACCTTGAATTCATGTCGACACTGTTGGCCTAGGAGTTGCGCCTATTTCGGTCAAGCACACATCAACACCAGAACGCGGCTTTGCGTACATGAAAGCCATCAGCTCACAGGCCTCATGATGCCCCCGCCTGTGACCTTTAAAGGCCCAGTTCGGTCTTTTCGGCCGCGGAAAGCGTACGGGCACCAAAGTACAAGCGGCTGGGTGATCCAAGTCCCATCTGTCGCCGACCTTCCTGACTTTCACAAGGCCCGGGTTCCTGATTTGTTTCCTCCCACATTGCCATGGCACCTGGGTACCTGGATCCAGGTGCCATGGGAGGGAGGGGAGCCCACGCCGAAGCTCAGCGCCACCTTCGATTGATTGCTTGGAGTTTAGACCGGGTGTTTGGATCCTAAGCATAAAAACTCATGTGCAAAACACCACGAAATGAAACCATGGTTGAAACCAGAAGGTTTCCTTGTATTTACGTTGGGTAATCATCATTCCAAGCATCCTTAGGAGGTGAGGGATTTCGTCCATCCACAGAATTATGAGCCAGTGGTAATATCTGTGTGTCCTATGACATGACATGTTTGGGGCCCCGCTTCCTAGTGGTATTTTGGTGAGTGTGCACACGTCATCCTTTTACTATAGCATGACTCTAAACATCTCTCCCGAGTGGCCAAACAAAGATTAAACATTCTGCTTACCACCAAACTCAGAAAGTATAAAGTCAGTTGTTCACATCAAAACAGACCCCCGAAATTCGGCGCACGGATGCTACGTCCTCAGCGGACCGTCGGATCGACCCCGAATCGCGAATCGGAGCACGCAGCGAGTTCGATTCCCCTCGGCCGCGGCTGCCTTGAAATTCTGAATTAGCTGCAGCGAGTGGTGGAAGGATTGTATGGAGTCGCAAGACTCGAGTCGACTGGCCAGAAACAGCTTGCACTTTCCTTCACTAAAATGGGGGCTCAAAGTGACTTGCTTAAGGCAAGAAGCAGTTTGAAATTTGGGCCCTAGACTCAAATGACCAAACCTGGCGATAAGATGCTTCAACATTGAAACTGAAAGGGTTTTGACCTCAGGCGCGACCTCCGGCCACCGCTTTTTGTCTTCACCGCACCGCAGCGGAAGAGGCTTGATGTCCGCTACTGTTTGCCATGAATTTTGATTGAAGATCCGCGTTGATGCCCTTCAGTTAGCAACCCGGTTGCATTCTAAGCCTCAAAACATGTTGCAGGAACATGGGTGTCATGAAAGCTGGTCGCCTTCTGACACCCTAGGGGGCAGGCAAGATTCTGGAGTGCGTCATTCCTCGGCTCAATGTGAGCTCCGGAGCCAATTTCTGCCTACAGTTGAGTCAGTTCGGAGTTTTGGTCCCATCACAGCCATATTGGTCTATATGAGCCCTTAATTGGATGTTTGGCGAAGTTAGTACGTGATTAGCCACCTGAGGTATAACCTGCTTATGAGTGGGTTGGGCCAGTTGTAAGTAGGTTATAACCCAGGTTACTAACCACTTACTAACTTGGCCGAGCACCCAAGTACTAGAATCCCTAATCCCGCATGGGGCCGTGCGGCCGTTCGTTTCGGCCATTTGCTTGTATGACCCGTGTGAAGCCCGTCTTCTTTCAATATGTTGCATGTTTTATTATAAAGCCAACGGCCACATGACACCAACAAGCAAAGGGTATAGACAAGGACATGGTCAGCTATGGGTTTTGGAGGTGTGGAGGTTACATACCACTCATATATTTTTTTCTGATACTCCATACTCTATACCATATAAGCCTACCCCAAACTTGGCCCACGTCTGCTGTACACAGAAAACACGTAACCTTGCACTTAGGCTACCCTAGCATGTGACATGGTTTTGGAGACCCCAGACACCTGCAAAAAGGGTCTGATTCAACAGGCAAACCAAACCAACCTCGAGGCATTGCAACACACACTCGTCATAGTGTATCCCGCTTGGGACTTACAAAACAATGCGTCCCAGGCTCGGTTGCTTTCTGCTCCCCTGCTAAAAGTTTAACTGAGGTCGTTATAACCCACGCAGAACAATGCATCCCAGGCACACCAAAGCTCTCCACGCCTGACCCCTTTTCCTCGGCCCTGCGGCTTGGGTGCGCTAGGCCCTCAGTCCATTGGCAGATGCTTCAACTCGTCCACCGGGTCTGGCAGATCAGCGCAGTCCTTGCGAGCAGTGACTCCACAGGATGTGTCTGCTTGCTGGCGATTGCTGCCGATTGCTTTCATGTTTGTTTGTTTGTTTGCGTGTTTGTTTGTTTGCCTGTTTGTTTGTTTGTTTGCTTTATTTTGCGTGTTGCTGCTTGTTTGTTTGCTTGCATGGTTGCTTGTTCGTTTGTTTGCTTGTTTGTTTGATTGTTTGCTCTATTTTGAGTGTTGCTGCTTGTTTGTTTGCTTGTATGGTTGCTTGTTTGTGTGTTTGTTTGTTTGTTTGTTTGTTTGAGTTTTTTTGTTTTTCCCCTTGCTTGCTTGTTTGCTTGCTTTCTTTGTTTCTTATGCTTGCTCGTTGTGCTTGTGTTTAGATGCTTGCATTTGCGCCACTCGAGTTTACATCTCCCGACTGTGATGCGCTCTCTCCCTCGGGAGTCTAAGTGTGCACCGCCCCACTTGGGGAATTCTCGGGTGACACCGATTTAGTCTGCCCTACAATCCAAGAGGCCCCAAATGGAGGTTGTCAAAATAGGGAGATGCTGAGAGTGGTTCCTTTGTTTTCCTGTCAACCTAAAAACGGGGCACCAAAGAACACCCCCGGCCCCCATTCCGGTCTAAATTCAGTGAGCCTGAAAGTGCACGCATGGGAGTCTTCACAAGAGTTCCGCATTCAAAGAAACAGCACCATGGTTCATCTACATTGGAGAAGTAGTGCTCCGGTTAAAAAGGGCGGCTAGTCTCCCCTTGTCCTTAACCCCAAATGAACCATCGACCATTGGATAGAGGGCTCCGTCCGTCTGTTTGTTCTCCCAAATAAGCTGTGGTGGGGTTCTGAGCGGCTCCAGGACAGGGTTCCGGGTGCAAAGGGGGCAATCTATCAGCGGGGGAATCTGCAGCCAATGCAGGCACATGTTGACGGATAAATCACCCCAGTTTTGGAGAACGGGGGGCACCTGCCAGTGGAACCGGCCCCACTGAGTTGTGCCGAGAGCGCCGAGGTGGTGGCGATGCCAGCCGCCGGACCGTTCGTGACGGCTGCGACCATGTCCTTGGTGAAGGTGGTTAAATGTTCATCCATACCCAAAAGATATGAGCAGCCCCCAAGATGGTTTGAACAACCTCGTTTTCGTTTCATTTGGTTAAAACGCATGCAACCAACGCTGATGTCAAGACCCAGTGATTGTCGGTTCTACAAAATGATCAGCTAGCACACCCAGCAGGTCCAGATAGCAAACAATTTGGAGATGTCAACTAGGAAATGGGCGAGCTGTGTCTTGACTTTTTAGGGATTATTTTACTCCCCCATGAAGTCAGGTATTCGAACCACCCACTCAGGTGCCTAATAGGGGCTTTGGGCGCTGATGAAAAAACAGGGGTTTACGCCCATGAATGCACCTTACAAAGCCCATGAGCAGCGCCCAAAAACCAGTGAGTTTGGGTTCTACCAAGACGGCTAGAAAGGTTTACATGGGCTTTCAATAATTTTCCAAATTCAGCAGGGTAGCGCCTACGAAAATGTCCCGCCTGAGGTTTTGGGGCGATGGTTTCCGCCTTGGCAAACAAATCTTCGCCGAGGATCCGAGATGTCTGCCGTGCACAGCGCCTTCTGGTTGCCTCCTTCTGGGCAGTCCGACACAGCCAGCGCCCTCGGCTAGAGGCCGGCCGCTGCGAAACGGGTTTCGCACGAAACCCCGGAGCGCATGGAATTGCATGAGCATGATGATTTCCCAAAATGAGTGGCTTCCCACAAAAAACATATCAACCCAAAGCAAACCACGCAAGGCCCGGCATGTCAACAACGGGGGGAATCTACGAGATGCCGCTCTTCGAGTTTACTGGTTCCAAAGTGACCTCTTGAGGGGTTCACAAGGCTGCCTTGGCGGATTCCCTTAAAGCCACAAGGGCAACTCCGAGGATGCCACTTGAACATTCACCCAGTTTACTGGCAACGCAAGCACCGACATCCATCCCTTTCTGCATTCCCAACTTGTCGCAACCTGAAATAAGGGATCCCCAAATATAGGGCCTAGGTCATGAAATCGTTTGCGTTCGGGGGAGCTCGCAAACCATCAACTTCCAAGAGGTTGGAAGGTGAAGGGTCGCAGCAACAAAAAACAAGAAATCTCAAGCCAAGCGACGTGAACTGCGAGATCCATGCGAAGCTGCTGATGATATTCATGATGTTGATGGCGCAAGCCCTGCGCAACACAATTGCACAACATGTCTTTCCTGGAGCAGTGCGCATACGGGCGTGTCTGTTCTTTTTCGCACGTTTATCGGAAACACAAAAAACCAACCTGTTTTGGGAGCCCTAAAGAAGAGACACCCATGCATAGAATCACTCTCCCGCTCTCTCCCGCTCTCTCCCGCTCTCTGTCTCTCTCTGTCTCTGTGTCTCTCTGTCTCTCTGTCTCTCTCTCTCTCTCTCCCTCTCCCTCTCCATCTCTCTCTCTCTCTCTCTCTCTCTCTCGTCTTTTAGGGCCGACCCGCCGAAAGTCCGCAGAGGGTTAACCGTCAACTTGATGGTAACAAGCAACAAGTTGTTTGAGGCCAGGAACGGTCACAAAGGCGACAGAGGGTCGCGCGAGCGATGTGAAAATCGTCCGTACAAAATCAGAAGTTGGTATTGAGACGCATCATCCAGCAGCAGCGCAAGATCACGGACGCCAGCAAGAAGATCGAGATGAAGCCGCTCTACCAGGCGCTGGTGGTCATCGACGACTTCGCAGACACGCCGCAGCTCCCCACGGAGCCCTGGACACGCTGTTCGTCCGTGGCCGGCGCATGCAGATCAGCACCTGGGTCAGCTCCCAGAAGCTGCGGTTCATCAGCGCGGCTGTTCGTGTGAACATGTAATTTCTCTGCTGCTGGCGGCTCCGCAACCAGCACGAGCTGGACGCGGCAATTGAAGAACTGAGCGTTCTGGTCCCCAAGGACAAATTGTGATCGAAGCTGGCGCAGCTGTGCGCGTGGCCGTGCGAATGGGCCCGGCTCCGGGCCCGTTCCGAGATCGGAACGAACTACAGCCGTCGACTCAGTTGAGGGTTCGTACATACTGAAGAGCCAAATTCACAGCGCAGCATCTTCTCTGAAGCTGTTTCGTGCGCATGTACGCGCATGCATTCTTAGAGAGAACTGGCTCAGTTAGTTGCAGTACCAAACAAGCCGGCAAAGCCGGGGGGCGGACGTTTCAAACAAATAAGAACTATCGTTCTCTCTCTCTCTCTTTTTCTTGCTTCTTCCTCTTTCTCCTTTCTTCTCTCTCTCCCCTCTCTCTCTTTTTTGGTTCCTCTGTCTCTCTCTCTCTCTCTCTTTCTCTCTCTTTCTCTTCTCTTGTCTGTTTCTCTGTTCTTCTTCCTCTTTCCCTATCTCTGTCTCATTTTCTCCTTCTCATTTTCTCTTTCTCATTTTCTCTTTCTCTTTCTCGCTCTCTTTCTTTGTCTCTTTCTCTCTTTGTCTCTTTCTCTCTTTCTCTTTCTTCTTCTCTTTGTCAGTAATGTACACCTCGCAATGCCAAAGTGCGGCGCCCTTCACGAAATCTGCGCCTGACCACTGTGATTGGCCATGCGCCTGCCACATCCGCACGTGACACAACGCGTGTCCGTGGCGTTGCCAGAGCGCTGTGCCAGCTACGAAATCCGCGCTGGAGTCTGCAAAAGCGCTGCGCCTGCCATGAAACCTACACCTCAGGCCACCAAAGTGTTGCGCCTGTCACGACATCTGGGCAAGAATCCAACAAAGCGCTGTGCCCGCCACGTGCCTCATGTCGTGTCGGACAAACTCAAGTCGCGAAAAGTGTGCGCACCTGTGCCAATGGTATCGTTCTGAGACCGTCCGAGACCGTTTCGACGAGCTACCTTTCAACTTAACTAAACGCTGCACGGCCACCGAAGACCAGCGGGAGGGTTCCCATACACATGCCAAGCCAAACATGTCTCCCACCTGTACCCGAACACCCGCAAAACTTCAGACTGGGTCTAGTCGAAGAACAACTGGTATAAGGCAGTGTTGACTTTGGAGCCGGCACCGAGCGCAGCAACGTCTGGTTCATGCAGTGTGGGCTCGCCCGGGCAACGGCCTGATCTTGCTGGTGCTCAGTACGGAATGTGGGAATGAACTCAGAAGGATTCCCTCAAGGAAGCCACGAATAATGGTGTATCAGGGTCATTACCTCATTTCCTTCCTATCGCACCGATCGCAAGTAATGCACAAGTGCATGAACTCCCATGTGGACGGCCTATCTTGAAGTCGTGGGATCAAGATCCGGAGGAATCGTCCTGTTGACTTGGGCCGGCTGAGCACCCTGCCCCGACCAAAAAAACATATCGCAATTAGATTCTGGCCCATGGCCCATGGCTCAGTGAAACTTAGAAACAACTCATAGCAGAACAAGGTCGTTGACCACCAAGTAGAGGAGAGGTGAGAGAAGTCAAACCAGAAACAAGCAACCCAAAGCAACACGAACTCCTTCAAGACTTGGATACCACTTTTTGAGCCACAGCCAAATAGAAGTGAAGAAATGGACGTCCGTTTCATGTTCCTTGTTTTTTTTTGTTGTTTGTCATGTTTGAACCCTCCCCTATAAAGGAAACTAGGTCCTCCAGTAAAGAGGTTAGAATAAGGGTGCCTTTTTCTTCTGTAGTCTATCTTAGTAGGGGAACCGAGTCTCCCCCAAAAGAAGAAACGGTAAAAGTTGTCACTGGGAGGCCTAGAACAGCAAAGCCCAAGGGGGCGCTTCAGGACAGGACGCGCCTTGGCTCCGGGCAGGCGGAGGTGGCCGAGCGGATCTGCAGGATCGCGCGGACCACGTAGGAGGCCTACAAAAGGCCCCCCGACCACCCGTATAAGGTGTAGATAAAAAGTAAAAATACTAGGAAAAATAGAACGTAAATAAAAGGTACAAGAAGAACCAATACCGCAGTTGTCGAAAAGATCCAGAAATGACAGGTAAACCTTGACACAGTTTGGACCAAATCAGGAAAGCTAAAGGTTAATTACACAGTTGGCTGTGGACAAGTGAGTTAATAGACCCGTGGCTAATGTTGATTGGTGGCTTTTAGTAGAGGCTATGACTTTTGGAGGGGAACGCCCCCCTAAGGTCAACATTACCGGATGCAAGCTGGGGTCAAGAAAACCCGACACAGTCATATCGTCCGATCATATCATTATAGGCACTAAATTGGCACGCAAAACGATGGGCCTGGCTTCCCTTTGAATTTTCCTACCGCCGTCTAACAAATGCATGACCATATATCTGACACTGTGATTCCACTGAACACCTTCTCCACAAGGACTTCCCCATTTCAAAGGGGCAAGCTGCTTCCCGTATGCTGTGTTAAATAGGGGTCGAGAAAAAGGCACACATCCATCTGTTATTATCCGAAGGGCGACTATGCAAGTAACAATATTCTCGAGCGGCAAAATCAATCCGACCGTGGCCCCCATTTACCTTGATTCCTTGAAACGGGAACCGCTGATTTTGATCGGGGCGTGTCCCCTTGTGGGAATCCACATCACTTTTGTGGGCCCCCTATGACTCGGAGGGGTTATTCATCTGGGAATCCCATTGGCAGTTATATAGATTTCCAACCGGGTGTCCTTGACCATCCCTCCATACAAGCAAAAGGGTGACACTTGACCATGGGACAATGGTATTCTACACATAGCTGCAAACTGACTTGGATAACTACCCCATATCGATTCAGCGGTTTGTAATCTTTACAATCATTGTCATGACTAAAAGTGGACCAACAAGGGGGCAACTAAAAGGTCAAAGGGTCGGCTTCTGGCAAGCGATTGCAATGCAATCTTTACAAACATTTACACGTGTGGGGGCAGTCTGAATCGCGGCGAGGATCGAAGCTGTGGAAGTTGCGTTATCCCATGCGACCGAATCGATCGACACACTAGACATTTGACCGAAAAAGACAAGCCCTATTTTTCGAACTTGCTTTGAGACTCACAAACGCTGCAAACACGTTCTCCAGAATGCTCAAAGGCAAGCAATGCTCTAGGGGCATCACGGATCTTGAGGCCCAACTCACCCAGGGCCGGGGATGCTGGTCTGCCAAGATACGGAGTTAGTCACGTCCATCACGCACTGGGTGATGTCCATGTTGCGGTTGGTTTGGGACTCAGTGAGTTTCGTGAGTCGAGTCAGCATCAACAAACAAGAAGCAGTGGATCGGATCCCAGAGTTGTTTTTTCCACCAGTCTTCCCGACAAAAGAGAACATGGCACCATGAAATTGAGTACAACACATGCTATTGGAAAACCGGAGCCAAACCAACCCACCTTTGGCTTGCTCAACGTTCAGCACCTAAACCTAATGTGCTTCTTCTATTAAGAAAGGAGCTCATGCTATTCGATAAGGAGTTCATGATATATGTTCAACCCAAAACCTATAGCAGTGTCTTCTAAAAGCCAAGTTGCGCATGACTTTTGGTCAAGGGCCATGTCAGATGGTCCCAAACGTTGGTTCGACAAGACCGCCATGAATCAAAGGAATGGGCTGCTTGAAGGGAAGCCAACCCCCCGCCCCCCCGGCACCCCCTGGATTTTGAAGGGGTTCGCCCCCAACTTTTGGGAAAAGGGCCCCCAGAAACCTACGTATATCCGCCGACCCCTGCTCCTGAAAGGGGGAGGCGCACGGGAAGGGTGCTGCGGATGCGTTGCCACGATGATAGTTATCATCACCATTGGAGATGCAGAGGATGCTACGATGATAGTTATCATCATCATCATCATCATCATCTGCAATCTTTTTCATATCATTATCATAATGAGATGCAGAGGATGCGTAGTCATCGTTATCATCATGACTGTTGGTGATGCAGAGGATGCACGATGATGGTTATCATCAATGAGGATGATCATCGATGCTGATAACGGTGATGATGAGATTGGAGATGCAGAGGGTGCGTAGTCATCATTATCATCATGACTGTTGGTGATGCAGAGGATGCACGATGATGGTTATCATCGATGATGATAACGGTGATGATGACGATGATCGGCGACGGCTATGATGACGATCCTTCTCTTTTTCATATACGATTCAAAAATGCCGTTAGAGCCGATTGGAGATGCAGAGGATGCGTAGTCATCATTATCATCATGACTGTTGGTGATGCAGAGGATGCACGACGATGGTTATCATCGATCATCGATGATGATAACGGTGATGATGTGATTGGAGATGCAGAGGGTGCGTAGTCATCATTATCATCATGACTCTTGGTGATGCAGAGCATGCACGATGATGGTTATCATCGATGATGATAACGGTGATGCTGACGATGATGGGCGACGGCTATGATGACGATCCTTATCTTTTTCATATACGATTCAAAAGTCCCGTTAGAGCCGATTGGAGATGCAGAGGGTGCGTAGTCATCATTATCATCATGACTGTTGGTGATGCAGAGGATGCACGATGATGGTTATCATCGATGATGATAACCGGTGATGATGACGATGATGGGCCATGGCTATGATGAGGATCCTTATCTTTTTCCTATACGATTCAAAAGTCCCGTTAGAGCCGATTGGAGATGCAGAGGTGCGTAGTCATCATTATCATCATGACTGTTGGCGATGCAGAGGATGCACGATGATGGTTATCATCGATGATGATAACGGTGATGATGACGATGATGGGCCACGGCTATGATGAGGATCCTTATCTTTTTCATATACGATTCAAAAGTCCCGTTAGAGCCGATTGGAGATGCAGAGGGTGCGTAGTCATCATTATCATCATGACTGTTGGCGATGCAGAGGATGCACGATGATGGTTATCATCGATGAGAGTGCACGATGATGGTTATCGTCGATGATGATAACGGTGATGATGTGATTGGAGATGCAGAGGGTGCGTAGTCATCATTATCATCATGACTCTTGGTGATGCAGAGCATGCACGGTTATCATCGATGATGATAACGGCTGATGCTGACGATGATGGGCGACGGCTATGATGACGATCCTTATCTTTTTCATATACGATTCCAAATTGTCCCGTTAGAGCCGATTGGAGATGCAGAGGGTGCGTAGTCATCATTATCATCATGACTGTTGGCGATGCAGAGGATGCACGATGATGGTTATCATCGATGATGATAACGGTGATGATGACGATGATGGGCCATGGCTATGATGAGGATCCTTATCTTTTTCATATACGATTCAAAAGTCCCGTTAGAGCCGATTGGAGATGCAGAGGGTGCGTAGTCATCATTATCATCATGACTGTTGGCGATGCAGAGGATGCACGATGATGGTTATCATCGATGATGATAATGGTGATGATGACGATGATGGGCGACGGCTATGATCCTTTAATCATCATTATCATCATGACTGTTGGTGATGCAGAGGATGCACGATGATGGTTATCATCGACGATGATAACGGTGATGATGAGATTGGAGATGCAGAGGGCGCGTAGTCATCATTATCATCACTGTTGGTGATGCAGAGGATGCACGATGATGGTTATCATCGATGATGATAACGGTGATGATGACGATAATGGGCGACGGCTATGATGAGGATCCTTATCTTTTCCATACACGATTCAACAGTCGTTAGAGCCGGTTGGAGGCGTAGTCATCGTTATCATCATGACTGTTGGTGATGCAGAGGATGCACGATGATGGTTATCATCGATGAGGATGCACTGATACGGTGATGATGAGACTGGAGATGCAGAGGGTGCGTAGTCGTCATTATCATCATGACTGTTGGTGGGCGCCGTTAGAGCCGACTGGAGATGCAGAGGATGCGTAGTCATCGTTATCATCATGACTGTTGGTGATGCAGAGGATGCACGATGATGGCTATCATCAATGAGGATGCACGATGATGGTTATCATCGATGCCCGTTAGAGCCGATTGGAGATGCAGAGGATGCGTAATCATCATTATCATCATGACTGTTGGTGATGCAGAGGATGCACGATGAAGGTTATCATCGATGAGGATGCACGATGATGGTTATCATCGATGATGATAACGGTGATGATGAGATTGGAAATGCAGAGGGTGCGTAGTCATCATTATCATCATGACTGTTGGTGATGCAGAGGATGCATGAGGATGGTTATCATGGATGATGATAACCGTGATGCTGACGATGATGGGCGACGGCTATGATGACAATCCTTATCTTTTTCATATCCTTGTCATCATCATCGTAATCATCAGCACCATCATCATCATCATCATGCGTGGACATGATTATCATGAGGACTGCTGGTGATGCTGATACGTAGTCGTCACCATGTCTTTGTATAGTATATATTTCAAGTGTGGCGTTAGAGCCCATTGGTGATGCAAAAGATGCGTGGACATGACTATCATGAGGACAGCTGGCGATGCTGCTTAGTATCAATATCATCATCATCAACGTAGTTGTCATCATCTCTTTCTAGACTCTATTGGTGCTGATTAGTCATCAATATCAGCATCATCAATGTAGTCGTCATCATCTCTTTCTACATATCTATAGTATACATTTCAAGTGTCGCATTAGAGCCCATTGGTGATGCAAAAGATGCGCGGACATGATTAGCATGATGACTGCTGGAGATGCAAAAGATGCGTGGACATGATTATCGTGAGGACTGCTGGTGATGCTTCTGTTTCAGTTGCTACATCTTCCCAGTGCATCTGAGGTCCATCGTGCTGTCTCACAACGGTAAAAACATACCAATAACATGTCATCTAATGACTCGTGACAAACTCTCGGTTTGGGGAAAGATGTCAAGAGTCGTTCACCTAATATTTATGTATGTATATATGTATGTATGTATGTATGTATGTATGTCTGTATGTATGTATGTATGTATGTACGTGTGTATGTATGTTTCTTTGTTTGTTTGTTTGTTTATTTGTTAGTTTGTTTGTTTGTGTCTCTCTCTCTGTCTCTATGTATGTATGTCCCGCGTGGCCCTGCACGTATACTCCAACAACACAAAAATACAACATGGAACGCCACAGCGCTTCCAACATTCTACAACACCCACGCTTCAACTGCCACCGGCAAACTCTGGCGAGCGCGCTTGCGCCTACGCTCCAATGTTTTGCAGCACCGCAGTTTGCCGACAGGTTGCTTTATGGGCAAACAACGGGGCGCCACGCTTCCTCTTTGGACCGTGCAAAGCGAGGCAAAGCTCTGAACCTGTGCCGCGCAGCCTGCAAGCGGTATCTTCGCACATCGCCCTGCGTGTGTTGTGCCTACAGAGCGCAGAACTAGTAGCGCCTCAACGCGCACAAGACTCTAAGCGTCAATGCATCACCGTCGAACCGCCTGACCCTTCCAAACCCGCTGACGCAGCCCGTTACACAAATCCCATTCCTGGTCACGCCAGCTGATCTAGCGCCAAAGCTCGATCAAAAAGGAATAAGCCCGCCAAGACAGTTAGGCAACGCGAAACTCCAAAAGCCTCCGAGTCAAACATGTATATGTTCGCGCATAGTCCCGTGCATGGACACGCCCGCGAAAGTGTGCAGAATGAAACACCCAAAGCCTGCCAAGACTCTGACGCGCCCAAAGATCCCCGGCAGATAAGCGAGCACCAGACCTCCAACGAAAAGGCAACCAACGAAAAAAAGCTGCACGCCCCAAAACTTCCAAGACTCCCAAAATTGGTTGCCTCACCATTAGTAACAAAACACCTAACTGGCAGTTGTCGCTTCCGCGGCCGATGAAGCGCTATCAGCCACCAAAGCATCGCCGAAAGCACTACGACCCACAGCCAAGCAAATATATTTTTGCGCGGCCCTACGTGTAAATTCCAACTACACAAGAATACAACATGGAACGCCACAACGCTTCCAAGACCTCACAGCACCGACACTTCCACCGCCACCGGCAAACTCTGGCATGCACGCTGGCGCAAGCTCACGGGCGGCTACGATCCCGTGTTCTGCAGCACCACAGTTTGCCGACAGGTTGCTTTATGGGCAAACAACGGTCCTGGAGGCATATATGTGCACGCATCTGCGCATGACCCAATGTATTACCGCGCCCGCACAAATGCGCAGAAAGCAAAAACCCAAAGCCTTCCAAGACTCTGGGGCGCCAACGCTTCCTCGTTGGACCGTGCAAAGCGATGCAAAGCTCTGAAC